TCTGGCGACGATATTAGAAAATTTTCTCTTTAAAACTGATAATAATTATTTCATAAATGTAATATAAAAAGTGAAAATATTAAGTACTTTATTTCATGAAAAATTAACAAAAACGTCCAAAAAAAAGACCTATGCAGTAAGATAAGTTAGTTCTTTATCATTGTAATAATCATTTCAGCCTAATAATAGTTAATACTAACAGAAACTTCTCAATATGAAATATTTTAAAAGTATGGACGTAGTAATGAATGTTAAGACAAATATAAAGCAATTGATAAGACAAATACTCATTGCTTGAGTATCAACAGTTAATGCAAGTAATTCTGAACAATTAATCCTCTAAAAATGATTTGTAACATCGCGAGTATTGGATGCAGTCCTCAACACACAAGAAAAGAATATTGTTGTTCTTTTTTTCATAAAAAGACATATCGATCCTTATAAGAATCTGATGTATTGCTGATGGTTACTGTTTCACTGTAACAATAATATCTAGGTCAAATGAGATCCAAAGACAATGATAGACTTTTGATATTGTCATGTGTGGAGGTGATCTGATGTTTTTGTAGAGACATTCGGAAATAGATGCAATTGCTGATGAAACTTATTGGTACTATCTTGAGGTATTTGTGTAATACTAGTAGTATTTGAGATTGCTTTAGTGAAAGTGGTGACACTCGATTCGTAATGTTAGTTATAATTGTTGCGATACAGATAGATGTGATTGTTATTGAATGTTTTCTTGTTGCAAAGGTAGTTTCCTTATATTACAAATGACTCTGTATTGATGGCAGTATGTATTCTATTAAACCATATTTTTTCATCACAGCATTGACTTTCTATTTGTATGCCATTAATGATATGCCTTGCATTCTGATTACTTTTTAGTATATTGAAATTATTTGAGAAGTATGTGCTGACATGTTTTGATAATTTTGAATTTAGAACAAATGTAGTAATCAAATAAACAAAGGTAAGAATGCCTAGTATATCAAATATAATAGTTGTCATGCCAAGTAGACAAGGAACAAAATCTATTGTATCTAAATAAAGTTACAAATTACTTTTAGATTTTTAAGCACTTATGCCATGAATAAAAATAAAATAATCAAGTTTTAAAAATACTATACTCAAGGATATGGGCACCGAGTATCATATCAAATAATTTCAATAACACAAATTTAGAAAAAAATCAATAGAACTGAATAATCAAATTTCATAGTATGACTTATTTCTTCACACTGATGCATGTACCAACCTTGAAATGTGACAGAAAAGGTATGTAATAGAAAGAAAAAAAAGCGTCACCAATCGTACCACGCATGAGCAGAAATAAATGTTTATCAGTGCTAAATAACCATATCATGATGAAGGTTGGCTTTTTTTGTTATTTGCTAACCTTGTATATTATACTGAATAATTTAATAATTGTCTTCTGTGACTTTTATACCTAATAATGGAGTCAATGAAATTTATAACTCTCGGATGGATTTGTGAATCTATGTCAGAATGATTTATTTGATTGCAAATTTTAATTTCTATTGAAACTACTGATTATATGTTTTCAAACATAAGAATATTCACTGATCAACACTGTGATATGATTACAATGATGATCATTTATAAATCTCATGAGTAATACCTCATTAAGAACATCGTATTGAAACTTGAGAAAGTCTAAACTAATTCGTGTGCATGGCTTTTCTTTTTTGAGTTATGGTCATTTTAACTATTTGAATATGGTTGCTCGACCATGATAGCTAGGAACTTCTGGATTTGTATGATCATGGTCAACAGTGAATACTGATCTCTTAACAAATTTAGTTCTTATTTTCTAGATTACTCATGATATGTAAACAGTTCATTTCCTTTGACATAAAGAGCTAATAACCACTTAGTCAAGAGAGATGAGAATTTTTTTTTGCTACCAAAATGTAGCTCAGACTTTTCTTTATCCACAACATAAAATTAAAGTGTCCACTTTTCCTAGTTTCTGAAGTAGCTACAGTTGTTTTACGACCGAGCATCATTGTTGAAGTTTAAGATTCTATCTTAAAAGAATTCAAACGTCAGCTAAGGAATATTATTTTCGTTGCAAAATTGCATAAGAAACCCTAAAATGTTTTTCAATCATCATATAAAATATGAGGATTAATTAGTGTACTACTCGAGAAATTCATTGAAAATGAATACGCACACTTGAAACATACATAAGGAGATATGGTTGAGAACGTAAGAACCATGTTTTCTGCCATATGTTCACTGGTTAATGCTCATCATAATCATATGAAAGTATAATAATAAAAATATAAGAGGGAAATATTCGTAGGCTAAATATTATCAAAAACAAAACTTCAATCTTAGTCGAATCATAAATCACTTCATCTATTTTGCATCCTTTTCACTTTTTCATATATTTGCAAGCTAAGTTAATAGCATATTTGAGATCTGTCAACGAAACTGTGTAAGTAATTATTGTTTCAGAGAAATCAAGTTTCTAACATTGGTATCTAATTTAACAGATGTACGAAAATCAAAAATGACATATTTCAATATAGCTCCAAATCTCTTAATAATTATCTGTTGCTCATATTATTAATTATACAATTTTTTCTATAATAGAAAATAGAAAAGAATCATGTTTAAAATCGATCTCTATTTTGTCTTGCACTAAACTAAAGTTAGACAAGTAAAGTAAGTGTGTCGTTTCAAACCTGTAGTTAATGATAAGATTTTATAAACAATTGCTTTGTTGTTTACTTGATTATGTATCTAAAACTAGTATTGTAGATTAATCTTGTTAAAGTTTTTGTTGCGTCTTTAGTATTGAATCAGTCTAGAATGAGAACAAGAGATGATTCCTGAAATAGTTGAGAAATATTTCGCCATAATTTTTCTATATTCTCACTTACAACTTGTCCTTGGAACATATTAATTTTTCAAATGTTTTCTGTATAATCTAATACACAAAACCTTTTTATTTTTTTAATTGCTCTTTAATAGAGAAAGGTGAAGGTTCAACTAAAACTCACAGTAACAATATTGAAATCATATGAGTAAAAACTTACGAATACGTATCAGAATTCATAAAATGATGTTCTTTCATTCAGCATACTTACGATTACCTTATTAGCTGAGCATGTGATTTGAACTGCTATTCTTCCACTAATATTTCTTATTGAAATTTTAATTTTTTTAAATTATCCATGTAGAAACCAAAGAGGTGTTTTTTCGAAATGAACACTATTATTCTCAATATTATCATAACACAGTTTCCATTCATATCACTTAGATAGCTGAATAATTAAAAGTGAATAAATAATTGCTTAGTAGCTGATCAGAAGTAATGCCCATTTCAAAAAAGAACGCCGATGAGTGTTTTTTAAATAACTTTTGATGAAAGCAAGATACAGAGCTTCGGTTTTCACCATTGGAAAGAGAAGGCGAAGGCGCATTGAATCGTATATCACAAGCTTTTATCTGGCTTTTTCTAAGCTTTTCCACTAAGCTTTTCCAAAACTAGCATGCTCGTGAGATTATTCCAGTGAATTTTCAATTATCAGGTGTGCTTTAGAACCACCAATTGAAGATCTACAAAAATGTACAAGACTCAGGTTTTTAGCTTTAATCGTTCAAGAGTAATAGATATTTTACTGAAAGCTATAAGCTGATTTTTCTAGCATTTTCTGTGAAAAAAAATTATTTTTTTGCTTTTTCCTTTGTGATAAAGACCATTTTCTCACTATTTTTCTAAAAAAATTGAATAAAGAAGCTTCATAAAAGACATTCGAAAATCCTGCAACACACGACTTGATGCATCCTTATTTTCTCTTTCGAACAATGAAAATCGCAACTCTCTATCTTGCTTCTATTACAAGTTATTCAAAAAGCATCCATCGGTCTTCTTTTTTGAAATGGGCATTAAGTTCAATATTCTATGAATGCATGAAAGTTATTCAACTAGTTTTACATTCTAGAGAAATGACAACAACATCAAAGAATAACTATCCGTAAATGACTGAAGCATTGATTTTACCTATGCTTGATAAAATTTTTTTCTTTTCTCATCGACTTTCCATTGAAAAAATATGTCGGTCATAGTTTTTATACTGTTGAAATTATTAACTAGTGCTCTGAAAAATTTTAATCTTGATATATTCGAAATGATCAAGATTCTATATTATCGTAAACAACTAACTGTTAAGCATTCATCAAAATACGTCTAATAAATAGAATTTTTCCAGCGGGTTTAATATATTTTATTATGCTAGATTAAAAAAAATACATTATTCTGTTCGATACTTGTCATTTTATTAATATATTGAATAATCGGCGTTTGGGTTAATAATTGAAGTTCTGAATTTATTGTTCAGTATATTGTTTTCTCCATATCTGAGTTGTGATTGCAGAGTTTTTAATGATTCACTTCTGTAGGTATGCGAATGCATTGTATGGCCAGGATATCCTTTGACGAGTATTGAAATAGCAGCTAATGCAAAAGCAAGAAGACAACTGTTAATAATAGCAATACCGAGTGTTTGATCGCCAGCAACTTTGCTAAGTATTTTTAAGCAGCCAACTGTATGAAAACTGTTTGGCATATTATTAGCATTCGATATACAGTCTAAACAAAAAAGATGAAATTCAATCTCGTTTGTGATTTCTTAGTACATGAAAAATGTTACTTACACGAATCCAATGAATTGAATGTTGTTGGTACATCACTAGTACAGCACGATTGCGGTAAAGTAACACCATAAGATAATGGTAAACCATATATCTCACCATAGTTGAATTTTGTTTGTCGTTTTTGTCGAATTTGTTTCAGAAAATTTGACGCATGAAGCTCGAATGGATTGGTACCAAAGGCCATGTTATTTGACAGAGGATTCTTATTAGGCGATGGTTCAATTGTTGAGAACGTTTTTACGCTTGTATCTGCATTTGTCCCTTTATCTACAGAAGGTTTTAATAGCAATGTGGCATGTGGGTCTGGTTTCACTTGTATTCCTAAATTTGGATGTTGTTGTCTGTCTAGTATAGATTCTGAACCATCAATTGCTTTTGAGTTGTCGACAAATCGTGAACCGCCAACCGATTCTGTATTCACGTTTGTTTGTAAGCCTCCGATCAAGTCCGATCCACGATGTATACCTTATATACGTTATGGATAAATATTGTAAATGTTTATGAACTACTAAACAATCTTTTGCTAATTAATTAATTGATTTTATTGGAATGAAAATTAAAGTAATATTAAATATTAATATATTTAAATATTTTTTGAAAACGCTTCCGAGAAACTATTTCTCCTCGTTGAATTCTTTTTTACTTTTATATTAGGATTAAGTCTACATTAGAGGGTGGCTGGAGTTTTGCCATAAGATTGTTGCAAGCTGTCACGAATGAATATCAACATAGGATACATGTGAACACTGAGGCTAATATTGTTGGAATATAGATATAGATACCAAAGGTTACACTGATCAATGTTGTCGATAGGAATTTATTAATTGATATCCATCGAACTCAGAGTCAAATCAACAAAACTCCAGAGCGTGTATTGACGAAAGTACCGCGAACCTTCATCAATTAATAAAAGTACAGGACATATAATGTCGAAATTTTGAAAGCTACATCATACTATTTACATGTGTCTAGTTTTCTTTTTTTCTCATAGTGCAATGAATGGTAAAAACACATAAGTTTTATCGTCCAGGATTACCATCTTATCTTTCCATTTCACTATTATAGGATGATACGTACAATAGTACAGTGTAGAAGTAAAAACGAACTGAAAAAGAAGAAATAGATTCATGAAGATGTTTTTCGAGAATAAATAAATAAAAATTTTATTTTTAACATGATTTTAAGTTATAATTTAAAAACACTTAATTAATTGATTCAAAATAACGAAATTTAATTTGCTAAAAAATCGATACCTGTTTTTACAGCAGAACTTGTGCTGGTTTCTAATTCTGTATTAACAGTTGCTTCAGTTGTCTGTATCTCACTCGTATGAGACAATGTTGGAAACATACTTGTGTCTACAACAGATGATTTGCTGGTTAGATCTGAGCTAAAGCTTGTCGTTGCACTTTGTTCATCTGTAGTCTCTGTCTCATCGATGTTGGATGGTTTTCCATCTAATGATAATCTGGCCCAATCAAGCCATATATTGTCACCACAACATGCATATTTTGTTTGAATATTGTCGATGATATTTCGTGCTTTTGGATTGTCCTGGTAATGATTCATATTATTCAAGAAACGCAAGTTTATATAATCGATAGTTAGAGAATTCATGATAAGCGCAGTAATAAGTGAAGCAAGAGCACATACACTGAGTAATATACAACCAATAGTTACAACTGTACCTTAAAAAATAAACCTAATATATCGATTCCATTGACCCATATACATATAATGAACACAAAAATTATTCAGCAAAGTTTATTTTCAACTTTTTTTCACTGCCATACGTAGGAGTGGCGATTTCATATTAATTTATTTTAAATAAAAATTTATGCGAGTTTCAACTTAAAATAAATTTAAATTTTTTAAAATTATTTCAACTTATATAAACCTATTTTAAATCAATATAAATTCAATTTGAACTAAATAAAATTTGGGTTTGAATCCGATATGAATTAATATAAATCGATTTAAATCGCACATAAATAGTATAAATTTAAATAATTATCAAAAATTTAAACTTATGTAAATCCATTTTAAAGTTGAAATAAATAAAATTTTGAGATTGTTAAAATTTATTTTTCAATTTGATTAAGTTTTCGTAAATGTAAATTGATCATCCCTAGCTGTGAGCTATTGAAAGATTCCAAATAGTGGTTCTAATAAAGAAAATGGTTTCAAACAGGAATATAAGAAACCAAAAATGATTATCTACTCCCAAAGACAGGAACTCGGAAGAATCAACAGTTTAGTTTTTCAGCACGAAGAATGCTATAGTAAACAATTTTCTACAAAATAAAATGTCTTAGCGTTCTCTGCAACGTTTCGTAGCTGAGATACGGCAATCTTACGAAAGTTTCTAAAGTCGTTTTCTTGACTATTTCCTATAGACAAACCATTTTTTTAATCTTCAATTATATTGCTAAATCTCAATTAAGAAACGTCGGAGAGAACTTGAAGGCATCTCATTTTCTAGAAAATGATTTACTCTATTGTTTTATATAGTCTAAATAAAATTATATTTAAACGTTCTAGGTGTTGAAAAACTATTCCTTCAGTTTTCTGGAGTCCTTATGTTTCTAAATTTGTTAAAAATTTTAATTTTTTTATATGCTTATTGAAAACCATGTTCTCTATTCGAATGACTATTTGATTTCTTTCTAGCGATTATGGCAGCAGAAAAAAATTGAAAAATAAACGTTGTTAAATAATTTTGGTGCCCGCTATATATATGTGTATCGTTTCGAATATAAATATGAAATACTTACTCAAAGTTTCTCGATCACCTGCTATAGCATACATGCCAACTATACTGATGATGATGCCATAAACACTAATAACTATATTGAATATAGACAAACGTTGTTCGAAAATAAAAATATCACCATATTGATGAAAATATTTAATAATACCAATACTAACACCGAGATGAATGATCGAAAAAATCAAAATAAAGAGTATTATAATAAAACCAACAAATCGGTATTTTGCTTGCATGGTGACTGCTAAACGTTTTTTAAATCTATAATGATATCACGTAACTTATTATATTCTCTCATATCGCATTGTTGACGCTCATTTGTACTTATTGCTTCGGTTAAATATTATATGCACTGATTTACATCTCGAATTAAAAAGTGTACTACTCATTGCTACGGATGAATGGAGAAGTAAATAATAGATAAGAAAAAGAACAATAAATCATCACTTTACGGGTAGAATTATGGTTTCTATATATAATCATCATGTACGTAGGAAAAAATCATAAATTAGTATACGATCAATGTACATAATATAAAAAAACCCTAGAGAATCTGTTGTACGTAATGAATATAAGTCCGATAAAATTGCACGCATAAAATAAAAATAGTTTTTCTTTACACAATTCATATCTGTTGAGTTAAAATTACCTATGAAAATACGTCATTCGTACAATTTGTTGTCAATATTTCATACATGAAATCTATTCTATGCTGATAGTGATTATGATTATTTCTTCTACAATAATTCTTGTGTAATGCATAATATCAAAATTTCCGTGAAATAGAATGTTTGTACTGAATGTACGATTTAACTAATCAATTTATTTCACCTCAGTCGGATATTATTTATATTAGAAAAGTCTTGTTTCGATTGTACAGTTAAAAAAAAAACATGATCTATCACTTGTTCTAACGTGACTGCACTGCGTGACCTCTGTAGACACTCAACTAGGTTCTGTTTAATTTCTATAGTTTCTTCTTCTCAATCAAGGTACTACCAGTTTTTCCAAACTTCGATTCATATTCACAAAATTTTAGATACACAGTTCACTATTTGCTTAATCCGGTTTACATAAATATAACTAAGACTATTGCTTATTACTGACAATCGTGTTGTTATTGTTGGTTTGAAGATTGTCAATAACGAATTTTGTTTATCACTTAACTGTTTAATTTCCTTTTTTTAGTAACATAACATATTTTTTTAACTAGGTAAGAGCTTTTAATTTATTGAGCACCAAATAATGAGAAACTGAACAACAAGAAATAACTGTACATTAACCTTTTTTGCTCTGAAAGTAGTCACTAGAGAGCTAAAGCTTGGATCCTTTACTTATTTCTGTACACAAAAGGTGTTAGATAGTGATGGAAAATATGTCGGATCTGAACCAGCCAGGTTCCATTCTAATCAATCAATACTTATTTGATGTAATATATTAGCTTAGTCGCAATATTAGATAAAGCAGAAATATTGAAATTATCAAATCTATAATCAATATTTGATAGTTGCAACGTTAACTCTATGAGAAAACCTCCTTGTTAAAACGAATTTGATATGCTTTTCTATTGATTCTAAAATGATTAAAAGACTTGTGTATTGAATTTACTATTGATAAAATTATTTGATTGTGTACTCAATTGTAATTTTCGATTTAAAGTGTACTAATAATGTACCGGCAGTAGTTCGTTGTCATTGGACAAGAGAATAAAATGTCTTATATCGACCTTCACTGCTATTTATACACGTCATTTGTTCATTTATATTTGGACTATTCTTAAATAATAGCTATAAAATTTAAAAAGCTGATTATTGAAAGAAACTGCAAGTCATGATTACTTACAGTGATTTCACAATATAAAATAATCTTTTCGTTTATTGTACTTGAATACATTTTAATACCAGTCTTTTTTAGTACCAGAATAGACTAAAATATATGGAGTGATCAAAAGATTTAGATCACGTATTTTGTATGAGCCAGACACATGTTGATATCGAACAATCTCCTAAATTAAGAAATAACCTTTAAAATTATTATCTTCTACTTATTCACTAGGATTTTCTGATTAATGATCAATTTCGTGTCAACTAGAACAGTTTTATTAATAGTAGAAGAGTTTATATTTCAAAATTAAGAATATTGAACATAGTTGTGTCTAGTTAAAGTTCTCATTGCTAAACTAACAAATTTCAAAACCGGATTCTTTTATGATATGCACAAACTGAGATATTCAAATTTTAAGCTGGTTACAATTTATGAAATGTGCCAATTATTCTGCATTCTAACAGAACTTTTTTCTCTTTTTATTTTGATTGGATAGAGCTAGTTAAGTTATGTAAGAAAACGTACATTTCACGTATAGAAACAGACGTTTTATGAAAGTCAGTTTCGAGTCTATTTTCCCCTATAATTAATTA